GCTACGTGTACTGCACGTTTTGTTTAGCAAACGCGTGCACGCAATCTCGTCGGAGGAAACCGACGAAGATTCGGTTTTATTATTCGAGTGTGTTTCGACCTTTCGCGAAATCACCGGGGAATTATAATGCGTGAGTACCTTCATCGTTCTTTTCCCCAATAATTGAACATAATCGCTCCCTTACTTCAAAAGTAAAAAAATCTGATCTGTAAAAAAACTAATAGCGAATTCGACGCACTCAGTGCGCACTGATGCACATTCCAATCGATAGCTTCCAATCGAATTCGCCATAAGTTTCCCAGAAAAGACTTAAAAAAACTATTTTTTAATTTGACAAAAGTTATTAACTTCGAATATCAAATAATATCAAATAAAAAGAATATTCTTTTAACATGATAATGTTATTTTTGCCTCACAATTCTTAAAAAAATCACCTTTTTCAAATTGTGATGATTTTAACGATTTTTTACTCTAGGAGTAATTTATTGGCGAGATACATTGATTGAATAAGGAGCCAATGTAGCCAATATTTGGCCAATACTGTGTCAATAAATTACGTTACTAGGAAAAACTAGTTCACTTTTGATGATTGATAGGATAATATTTATTTAATTCATTCGTAATAACTCGATAATAAAAAAAAAAACTCGAAAATTATGTTTCTTGAACTGTGTCACTTTTTAAATAAGGGAGTGATATCTTAATATATATAAAAAGTCTGAAATAAAAATCATAGTTCTCACTCTAATATCTTCTATTTTTATTTCCTAAATTCATTGAAGAGATATAATTCGGTAAGATCTTTCTTGCGCGTTAACATCCTTCATGCACGACGTTCACAACGTACCGCGGCCTTTTATTATTAGCGCAAAATACGCCGAACCAATTTAGTGATTGTAGTTGAAATAGGCTATAGAGGATAAGTACCCTAGTTTAGTGATCTTACCGCGATCGGCTGCAATCGAGCGTCCTTACAGCCCTCTTAATAGAAACGCTTCCACGTGCTTCTACCATGCATAGATATCGCGGGATAGGGTCGTTCTGAAAGAAGAATCGACGCTGATATCTCACTACGGCGATCTCGGATCTTACTAGAGAGTACTTAGTTCGTTCTCACATAAATCACACACCAATAGTCCTTTCCCCGGCGTGCCGGCGTGCTTCTGACGAGCGATAACGATTATACAGTGGAACAAATTTTTATCAACTTTTTATTTCTCGACAAGTAAGGGATGTTTCTTGTAGATAGGTTTTTTTACGTTTGTAGGTAGAAGGTCTTTTATATACTGAAGAAGTGTTTACAATTGCCTTCAATTTTTAGAAACTCCGCTTTGAATTTCTTATGTAATAATGTAAACTTGTAATATATGGTAACGTAGTTATAAAAAATTTAAATATCTTTTTATAATATATGAAAATAAATATGATGGTATAAAATCTTTTTTAATGTTTATGTATATAATTTAAGTGATATATTAATCCTCCGCCAGCAACCAGAATCTTTAAAAGCACTATCGATATATTTTAATTTAAATATCAAAGGAGCAATGGTAACCCAGTTCCTTCAGTTAAATAACATTTTGTTATTTTTAATTTTCATTTGTGTCAAAATATAAATCAATTAATTTCTGTAGTTAATTTCAAAGTAAATAACGTCTATATTTAACAGATGCACGTAGTAAATAATATATAATACTAAATTTGAGTAAAATTTAATCATTTTCGTAAATAACAGAAAATAGTTGTAAATTATTTAAATTTATAGAATTTTTTCAAAACTAAAGTCCTTGATTTTTCAAAATCTGTAGGTGATGAAATTTTTTTTAACGTTATACATATATTCTTTTTCAACAGCTACATAAGAATCACCATTCGGATGTCGAGAAATAGGAACCTTGTAACACGGTGTTATCGATGTTTCACGTTCAAAATATTCCACATCTCCGTTCCGAACGTATCGCCGATAAACGGCGGTATCGAGCATTAATCCAACTCCGGGCTGTCAATATATCGTGCTACGCGCGGAAAACGCGATTTTCCGCGCGAGCGTCGTTCAGCGAAATTATTGCGCGCGCGGCGACGACGGGCATCGTAAACGGGCAAAGCCAGACGATGGGCGCTTCCTGCCGCTGTCTGACATTTACTTCGATGTTAACGCATCGACTTTCGTTGATTGGAAAGGCTGATAAATATGGTCGCGCGAAAGACATTCAATCTCTCTCCGGTCGTTACGCGCGTTTTATTTACGGCGTCAATTTCAGTGCCCGCTGTGGGACGCGTTGAACTTTTTGGAATGCTAACGGGCTCGCTCGCAGGAAACTGTATTTTACATCTGCATCGGGGCATGTTCATAAATTGAGTCGTTTGAGTTTATCTCCATCGTGTGATGTGGACACGTCGTATCAATTTGTATCCGCTTTTTCTCTATTCTTGATCGTGTTTCCCGTCTGGATTTGTATTATCCTCAGAACACGCTGCCCGAGAAATGAATTCGTTTTTCTCACCGGAAACAGACAATTTACAACGTGTATACGTTTCTTACGGTAAAAATTCTGCATTGCACGCGGTCACATTTGAATCGGTCATATTAGAACCCCTATATAAATAAAAAAAATCCAACTTTCGCAGAAAAAAACATTCTAGCTTTTATAACTGTAGTATTACCGATTCATTAACTTTGTTGAGAATTACAAGCAAAAAAGAAGTTCCGCAGAAGGTATATCTTTAACTAAAAATAATTAGAAAAATATGTAAAAAATGTCTCGTCAGTTCATGTATTAAATGAATGGATTATATCATTTTTAAAACTTATTTTCAAAGACAAAACTAATTTTGGAAATATTGATTTATGTTGAGTTTGAAAAAAATGAGCATTTCGTATAAATTACATATAATTGTATCTTAATTAGTAAATTCTGTAAATGTAATGAGACAGACTTCTAAAGATGTCATAGAATAACATCTTCAATTTTGTAGTAAAAAAATTTTTTAGAAAAGAAATGCTTGATTAATGCGATTTTTATAAGAAATTGTGTATCTGTCTCCCATGATTCTGAAACTAATATCTCAATTTCGATAAAAATTGATTTATGAAACTTCTGAAATGATCGATTTATTAATTTTGTTGAGAACTATCGATTCATTAATTTTGTTAAAAACCATCGATTTATTTATTTTGTTAAAAACTACCGATTCATTTATTTTATAAAGAATTAAAAGTAAAAGGAAAGTTCCGAAGAACACCTCTAACTACATGATATATTTCGTACAAATTTGTCTTGTACTGATCTCGAAGTAATCAATGATAAGGATTACTCCAGTATAAACTAAGATATATATGACATTTTGCGGCTTCTCACTCGGAACACTATAAAGTGTCCGTTGCTCCTGTTATTGCTACTGAAAATAGAAGAGAGCAGCACCCCTGGGAATAATCCCGATATATTCCGCGCGATGCGACGACACATAAACGATCGGGAAGTCGATTTTCGTATTTGTACGTCTTATTCACGAAGCAGACATAATCTCGGCGTGCCTGCGTAACGGTAAAAACAGATCGGCGTGCATTCACTTTTCCTCGTTGTGTGTACGTACACTCGGCAGGCGCATTATCCAGCCGCATATGAGGCACGCACTTTGCAGCACGCCTTTTAAGGATATATGCGAACGGTAACGTGTCAGTGCCTAGTAACAACCCGAAACATATTGTATTTCTCGAAATCCCGAGAGAAACACAAACAGCGTATATCACGCAACGCAATTGCATACGTTTAATTATCCTTTTACGTGTACTTTATACGCGGAAGTCTCGGTTAAAAAGCGAGATATAAAAGTAATTGAAGAGCGGAAATAGGGGACGTCAGATGAGCGCCATGTTCTGATTTTTCTTCTACCGATGCACAGATTGTGCAATAAAACCAATGTACATATACAATTATTTCTATAATAATAAATTCTATAAAAATAGTTATATTATACATATAAATATTTAATGTATCTATTACTATAATATATAATATAAATATTTAAATCAACATTAAAGTTTAAAAAACTTTATTAATATTTATATATTTATTGATAAAACTATTATTATATACTATTATATATAAATGTACAAACATTTAATTAATATTAAATACTTTCAGAAATTAATATTAAAAAACTCTTTATTTCGAGTTCGTTTTTGTATTATATGTGAAATTAGATGAATTTTTGGTTTTAGATAGATCTCTAAATTATAACATAATTCTACTATATGATTCGCATTCAAAATTCGCCATCAGTTTACACGTGTTCCCGTAAACCATCACATTCGTCTGATGGATATACTATTTCAGCTGTATAACTCTTCCTTTCTCGCGTATCATTCGCACAGCTATCACAGTAAACTATGGATTAATTGGATGTTTGTTCGGGCGGTCGAATAAGTTGATAAAATCGACAATCGATTTATGGCACGTATTGCTGCATGGTATGTCATCGAAGGGAATAGGAATGTATCTCGTGATTTTTCTATTACGAGCACTTTGCTCCAAGAGGATCCGAAACAACTTTCACTTGATAATAATAGTCGATTTATTCTCTTTTCCGCGTGTCACGCTGCGTCATATACGATTACCAGCCACGCATTCGAAGTTTTCTTTTCTAATTATTCACATCCGTAGAGACAGATGAAAGCATCTCTAGGGGCACTTTAGTTACGCTCGAAGCAGATGCGCAATATTCTGAGAAATTCCGGAGGAAACTTACAGCCCTAAATTGCCTCAGGGAACGATGCGTCCGGTATATGTGCACCGCCGGCTAAGTGGTATCTATTAAGATTAGAAACTGGGTTAATATTGCTCTCTGGGATGAGCCGCTACTCAAGTGAAAGCCCCAGCGGCTGAAGTTAATACATCGCCGCGTTGCGCAAATGTATTGTTAATTTCTCCGCTCGACCGCATGTTACACGTATACCGTTCATAGAAAACGATTAATTTAATCTTCTTATCTGTTGGCAGACTGATCCGATGCTTCCAAAAACGAGGGACAGGTGACAAGGCAAGATCTGGACGAGCGTCTTGAGATAACTTCCTCTTTCTCCGTGAAGAAGCTTCGATCAGAAGCAACGAGGACGAAACGATGTTGAGCTTACGGCGAAGGCATTCTCGATGGAGAATGTTCCCCATTTTATTGTTTCTCGGACTGATCTGCAGCGCCGAACTGACGCCTGTTCGCTTACCTGAAGAAATATCGTCAGCACCATCATCGTCATCGACATCCAAAAAGAAGGACATTGACTTTCTGGGCGACTTCTGGCAAGCGTTGCTCCTGGTGGATCCACAAAGCGGCTTTCAACCCAGTCTGGACTCTCGAAGGATAACGCCGAAGAGCGTGTTCATCGCACCGGGGGTGTTACCTGCCTGCGCAGAGGGTTATCACGCGGACAAAATGGGTAGATGCGTTAAGAGCATAAGCATTAACGCGACCGCGCACAAAGATTTCATTCTAGAACGACTCAAACTCATGTTCAGTGGTGCGCAAGCTGCCAAGAGTGATCAGAAAAAGTCGACCGGTCCCCTGCAGCTTAACATCCCTCTGCAGCTTAATGTTCCTGCATCCGACATCGATCCTCAGCCGACGGAGATCGAAGTCGAAGAAACGTTCTTGAAAAACCAGCCGGTCGCGGCGCCAATTCGCAATGAAACTTACTTCTCGGCAGGCGAAGATAAGACGAAGTTGCCCTCGATATTGTACGAGTTGAAGAACGACACGACCCTGGATGAAGAGGAGTCGTTCTATTTCGGAAATTCCAATGTCGACGATATTGGAAAGAAGCTTCCAGCGACAGTTCCAGTAACGGAATTGGTCGAGGAGACGAACGACACCAATTTCTCGGAAGTGGTGGACTACAAGATTCCGGTAGATCTGAAGACAGTGTTGAACTCCTCGAATGTGAAGAGGTTCGATATCCGTGGCAGTACAGAAGAAAGCGTCTCGATGACGAAGAACCGAGAGAACTCCACCGAGTCGTCACCCGCACTAGTGCTGCTGATCTCGCCTACAAAACTGACGAACGTAGTGGACGATCTGTCGCTGATGCAGAACGATACCGCCGAAGACGTCGTACAGGTGTCCAATTTCACCTCAAACGCCAACGAGAGCGTCATTACTGGTACACCCGATTCCGCGCTTCCACCTGCGAAACAAATGACGTCGATCCCGATAGACGAGCAACGAGACAACGAAACGTACGTAAAAGACGAGTTGGTACCGGAGACTTCCAAGCCGACCGAGTCGCAGGAAACGGACTTCCTCTACGACGAAGAAGAAGGCGACGTAGATTATCCGTATAGCACAGACGTGCCGGACGAAGACGACTCGGCTGAAGGCGAAGAGATCCTGAAGCATGGAGAGGCCGGCATGACGATTCCTACGGTTCGAGATGTCGAGCGTCCGGATCGCGATCGTCATCAACGACAACAGGACCAGATCGCAGAGCTAAAGAAGCTGTTCAATACACTCGATCAGATCGTAGGTCACCTTAACGATTCCGCGCCCACGGAGGATAAAGACGAGGCGGAGAGCAATGTCTCCAGCGAAGTCAGCATTGACGGTGACTTCATTGTGGAGACAGAAAAAGTCAAAGACAGCGAGGACGAATCCAAAAAATTGTTCAGCTCGGAAACTAAGAATTCCCACGTTATATTTCCTGACGACGTCCACGACGTGGTGACCGTCAGCTCGCATGGACGCGAGCCAGCCGAGCAACTCTCCATGAGGTTTGAGAATGAGAAAGACAAGGAACTGGAAAGTGCATCTTCTTCGTACGATTCGCCGGAAGAAGATTCGATAACTAAAATCCGCGCGATCAACGATAAACAATCGAAAGAGGGCATACTGCAAAAAAGTCCGAAAGACTTCGAATCAAACGTCCCGAGCAGTTCCATACAGACCACGATGAACTTGGACTCTGCTGAAGATTTCGTGAGATTTCCCGATTACGTGAGGCGGCCGCAGCAAGGTGGTTACGTAAGGTTTCCGGATAGCGGGGAGATAGCCAACAGCATACACAGTTTGAATTACAAGCAGAACTCGCGCTATTCCGCGGACGACGTCGGCCCTTACGGCGGTACCAGCACTAAGAGCAGCGTGCCCGTCCGCCAGAAACCAGTTTATCACCTGACGGCGTTGAGTTGGAAGTCGGACTTGGATCGCGTTCAGGCGACATCCAGCGAGAGGCAGAATCAGACACCAGATTTGATGCATTTCTGGAGCAAGCTTCCGCTGATCAAAGATCCGGCTATTTATCCCGTCTATCAGAACAACGACCAGGAACAATCCTACAGCCGTTCCTTTCGGGCGCGATCGTCGCGAAGGTTGAATCCCTTCACGGAGACGTCGCAGGGGAACAGGGTTTCAACGCAAAAGCGAAAGACACCAATTAGCGTTTAATCTTTTTCACATCGCTTTTCTTGAAAGAAAGGTCTAATGAACTGTGTACGAAATTGTGTCAAGTGATTCAAGAATTCCGAAATTGCATCAAGGTAGTTTGCGGATTGTCGCCGCGTTTAGATCGCTACTGTACGAGGACTTCATAGTAGATAAGATCAACAAGGATTGTTGACGAAAGACAATTTGCGGCAATCTGTTTGAGAAGTTCAAGAATCGGCACTGCATGTATCGCGTTTAGTTTTTTTTTTGCTCAGCGAATGTGTTGCAAATCGTTGGAAACTTCGACGATCTCAGAAGGAGTGATCTGGGAATCTAAGTATCTTCCCGGTATTGCCTTCCTTTCATGTGAGAAGAAAACTGGACTCGCTAAAAGCGGAGGGAAATTTAGAAACGTACTTAGACGTTTGTTTATTATATTTGCATCACGTCGTGTCGGTGATTAAATTCGCATCCGAAAAAAGATTTTCGAGGAAAATCTCACAAATGCGTTCTGATATCTTATGCTGTGTAATTAATAGTGATAAGCATCGAACAGAGAAAGTAGCGAGTAAGTAGCAAGTAACTATACTGACGTAAAATATTTGCGCAATCGATGACAAATTTTTTCACGCGCTAATCAGAAATGCTTTCTATGGAAAGTTCAAACTGCGTCATGCATTTCAAAATAAATCGCTGAGTGTCGAATATCACTTGTGAATTCATTGCGTCTGATGAGAGATATTAAGTTGCGAAAATAAAGCGTCGCAGTTTCAAACATCAAGGTTGATGAGGATAGATTTGTTTGAACTGACATTAATTAGGCTAATATTTACGAAAGCTAAAATTTTCTACCAGAATGTGCTAAAATAGAAGAAACACTGCCTGAAGTAACTTTTAAATTTTTTACGAGTGATTTTTTTACATTATTTCGATTATAGGAATTAGTAAGGATCCGCAGTTTCGTCACATTTAACTTCATATGTGATACTTGGCTCTTTATATTTTTAACAGTATTATTTTAATAATATAATATCATTTTCTAATGAATGAAACTTTATTTGTACTGACTCTGTTTTATTCATAGATATAATAGGTACTTATTACATCTACAATTTTATTTGATAATTTATTCAATATTATTTTAACAACATAATAATCACTTTTTAATCAAATTTTATTTCTAACGAATTTTTATTTGTACTGACTCTACTTTATTCATAGACATAATAGATACTTATTATGTCTATGATTTTATTTGGTAATTCTATTCAATGTTACTTTAACAATGAAATCATATTTTAATGAAATTTTATTTCTAATGAAATTTTTACTTACTCTTTTATATTTACTAAATACTGACTCTTTTATATTTACAGATTCTATTTTTATAATAAGTATACTTATTACGTCTACAATTTTATTTGGCAATTCTCTCTCTCTATTAAATTTTACTTTATTATAATTATCTATTACTTTGTGACTCACTAATGTGACAAATGTACTTAATGAAAATGACAGAATAATCGCAGTGAGTTTTAAATATATGACGAAAGTGCGGGCTAACAAATTCTTGATAAAAAATATATCGCTGATTAGGCTATCGTATGATGAAATAGTTATTAATTCAGCCCAGTTTCGTGTGAAACGTCGTTGATAAATCTATATTCTCTGTGCAGCAGAGAGATAGTTATTAGACTTGTCAGTGTTAATACTAATTTCGAGATAAGAACGTATGAATGGCGTATTTGCGAGCTCGCGAGCGATATGTTGAGCTCATTTACTAACGGAAGTGTTAATGAAGCACAGACTGATCTTTAGAGTTATTATACAGTAGTCGATTTTTGGCCGTACGAAATCTTGGGAATCGTGTTGCTCTCTTCAGTAAAGAAATTGTGCAGCATTAATTTCGTGCTCGTCGTTGTAAGATTTGCAAAGAAGAACGTACAAAACCGTTTCGGTTACACGATCTCTTGCAGATTTTTAAATAACCCGTTTTTATAAACGACAAGCGTGCGCGGATGTGTTAGACCACTTTTTGCAGATCAATCACGAATTACACCTACATTAGCCAGCCCACAGCGTAGAATAAGTGTTTTCGGTATGATCCAATCGATCGTTGTTTCACGTCGATATACCTTCAAAGGTGATTTCTCTCAAAACAGCCATCGAAATCAATCGAAAAGTTTCGATGATCCTTGTATTCGCTTTACCTTTCATCTAGGAAAGATAGTTACATTTTGACGGCAACATTGTCTCCGACACCGCTATAATAAACGCTCCGGCTATATATGACATGTAGTAAACAAGAATATTTAAAGCTTTTATTTATTTGAATAGTATTAGTAACATAACAAATCGATGTAAAATATTTGCAATAAGTTTTATTAATGTAAATCGCAAAAGTCTTCGTAAGTTAATTTTTATTAGGCCAAAACGTACATGAAAATTTTCATTTTACTAGGCAAGTAATTTAGAATAATTTAGAATTAAATGCTGTTAAATTTTATCATTTTATAATATTCTCCTAAAATAATATTTTAATTTCTTTCTTCTCAAAGTCAAAGAATTTAAAAAATAAAAGAAATCATTGTGTCATTAATAAATGTAATATTAAGCAACAATCCATTCAAATAAAAATATTTATTAAATCTTGATACTCATAAATTAAAATTTTTTAATAATTTGCTTCCTGATTTTAATCTGCTGCGTAGAATGTTACTAAGAAGCCGCGGCTTTTATTGTAGCAGATGTTATCGAGTCATCATTCAAAGCATCGAGACATTTCGAATTTCTTACGCGTGTTTCCTTCTACGAACTCGATAATTCGAAGATTTTACGATACTTGGCATTGTGTGGCCAGTAAATCTACTGATCTACATGCGTTTCAATGTGGTGTGTAATTTCTCCCGTACTATTGAATGTCGATTCGTGTACATATTAATTATATCATTGAAGAATGTATATACGCATAGAGGCATAATGTAGGCATAATATAAATAAATAAGCGTTAACAGCAGCACAGTCCCGATTGCGTATTAATCGTGTATTAAATCTTCTTGTATTATTTATAGCGAAATATATCGATGTATATTGCATTTGTCGTGTTGTGCGAGGCCGCCTGTTAGATAACGGAGTAAAGGAGTTATAAAAAAGAAAGAATCGCATACGACGCCCGTATGATACAAAATTATCGTGCTCTTTTATTTGTACAACCTGCCCACACATCCCTTTCAAGTATCTCACAATCAAAATATTAGATCCATTCGCGTTGCTTGCAAAAATATTTAATTTCGCGACAATATAATATTATTGCGTATAAATATATCTACATTTTTATCCATAAAGCGTTTTATATAATAATAAAACTAATTTTGTTTATTTATCTTGTTTTAAGTGTAAAAATTTTGGGAGATTTCAACGCGAACAAATCTATTGTACCTATGAACCAATTAATTACATCAGCTCGTCTTAAGACCTTTAAACCCCCTAGCCAAGAAGAATGTCTCAGTCGATTCGTCCCTCGTCGCATCAGGTCTAATTGCCTTGACACTACTGTAAAACTTTAACAAATTCTGTTCGAACTGTTGCGTCTTACCACCGTCCCAGATTTTTACAACGAACGTGCTTTGTGCCTTACTGATTTGTAGCGCGAATCTCAGAGCAGCATAAGCGAGTAGTATTATATAATCATGGTCTATCGCCCTTATGCCACATGCATTTGGAGCCATATCGGACAAGACGATGTCGACCTTGTCTCCCTGCAATAATTTGCTTAGAGTCTCCTGTGTTGTGGCGTTCATGAAATCCATGTTCCCCAAAACGGTCGCACCTTCCACAGGATAAAACGGAAGTTTGTCAACAGCGTACACCCTGCCAACAGGGCCTTCCTTCTTGCCATTGGCGTTGGTCAGATTGGTAGCGACCTGAGTCCAGCTGCCGGGCGCTGCCCCACAGTCCACGACGGTCAGACCCGGGCTGAGGATCTTGAATCTCTCATTGATCTCCAGTAGCTTGAACGCGCTTCTGCACCTGTACTTCTCCTGCTTCGCTTTCTCCACGTAGGGATCGCGCAGCTGCCTCTCCAGCCACAGCTGCGAGCTGTGCTTCTTGCCTTTCAAGTTTCGTGGGATTTCCTTGAACAGCGCGCGGCCGGTGTGCACGCTTCTCGTCAGCGAAACGTTCCTGCAGAGAGAATTCATCCCGTATGTAATGCAAATGTGATCTAACCTGTCGTCACTGTCGTCAAGCGAGCGTCGCAAACGCTTAGCGCAAACGCTCGCGATTCAAGACTTCTGGTGAATTAATATTTATCTGTCAGCAGATTAGCGCCAAATATTTCCAGAGAACTGCTCGTATATATAACTTGTGTTATTAAATGGAGAATAAACACGTGTAAAAGGTAAACTGTCGACATTGCAGAATTAAGACCCTGGACGCAGCCATGTTGTCTGATCGCCATTGTGTTCCATTTAATCCATTTTGACTCGATCAGCTGATTAACATCTGTCGGTGTGGTGGGTTTCTGCCAACTCGGCGAAGATTAATTAATGTTTCTCTCTGATTCTATATAATAAAAATTATTCTTAGATTTTTCATATAATTTTGCAGAAAATTTCTTAGATTTTTTTGTAATTAGAACATTTTTCAGAAGAGAAAGTCTAAACATCTTTTCTAGAATTCTTCATATATAGGGTGTCCTGTAAGTTTTTGCCAATCGCTTTTGTGTAGATAGAGCGGACTAAACTAAGTCGAAAAGTCCTGTACCATTTTGCAATTTTCGCAATTAATTACTAAAAATCGCTGAATATTGGTCTTCAATAATTTTTTACTCAAATACTATCAACTTTATAGAAAAATAGCGAGAGACCAAAATTGTTTATTTTCTTCTCATAAAGTTCTGAGAATTTTTTCAGAATTTTTCAATACCGTATTTTTTCATGTTGGTAAGAGTAAGAAAATGCAGTACTAAAAAGTTGATAAAAAATTCTGAAAAAATTCTTAGAGTTCTATGAGAAGAAAATAAATGATTTTCGTCTCTTGCAGTTTTTCTGTAAAGTTGATAGTATTTGAGTAAAAAATTATTGAAGACCAACCCTATAAGCGCATAATATTATTTAATATGAAGTAATATATTAAATATTCTAAATATTCTTCTACACAAAATTATCACTCGCGTAGATAAACCCAGAACGGTAACAATAAAAATGCAGCTTTAAATAAAAATCAAATGTTGAGTCATAAAAATATCGTTTTTATGAAGTATTATTATCAGAAAAAAAACAATAACAAATTAATAAATTAAGATAAAAATAATGTTATTGTGTGTGATCAATAAAAATAATATTAAATAATGAATAAAAACAAAATTAATATATAAAATTAATATTTATCGTCTAAATTTTAATAATAAGCTCGGTCTTTAATAATTCCTTATCACTGCCTCAAGTAATGAATGTACATGATATGTATGTATTGCATGATATTAAATGTACATGCATATATCAAAGAAATGCTTCACGTACATCAATGCAAACACACATACGCTACACATGCGCGTTGTTCGGCGTTTCTCGGCACGCTCGTAGCAGAGTACAGTACAGAAGAGTGTCGTGTCGGCGAACCGGCCAACCGGCGATGTGACCGAGGAGCTGCGGAGCGAGCTATACTCACGTTTGAGATTCCGGATGTTTTCGTCGACGGAGTGATCCACGATGAACCTCACCGCGGGCAATGCGCACGGCAACGGCCTGCTCTACGCCGGCTTCAATCAGGACCAAGGTACACGTCCCGTGCGGCTGCTTAACAGTGCGTGTCGGTAGCGGAACATCCGTGGCCGCGTATCTGTCAGATTTGCCTTGCTTCCGCGTTCTAACCTAGCCTAGTTTTGCCGCCCGCGCGTCTACGCAATGTTCGTCTCCACGGTGATCCGCGCCGATCCGCGCGATGCCACGTCTCATCCGAGCTGCACTCGACGTTCTCAAATTCGTGCTGCTGTAATCCGGAACGCCAGAGGACCAATTTCGTCGATCGATCGACCTCTTCGCCGAGGAACGTCGGTGACCCTTCGACGTCCGCGCGACTTACAGCAGATTAACGATTTATTCAGATTTATTTCTGTATAGTCCCCGGATGCCGTTAGTGAATGATTTTCTTCTGATTTTTGTAAAAGTATGCAATGAAAGAATGAAACGATTTGACACGTTTATTTGCATCTTTCTCTCGTTTCCTTCCGTCCCATCTCGAAATGATACCGTTGCACGTAATGCAACGGACGACTCCACGATTGCACGCTTGAAGTAAGTTCGCGCGATATCGCGTTTCCATGTATGAGTTTATCAGGTCGAGTCATCTTCTGCACTCGTGTCGACGTGTATGTATCGTAAATACACATGATAATCGATTAATATTGCTAAGGAAAGAAAAATGTATGTATAAAAGATAAAACTGTATCACTATTGTTCACGCATTTGCAGGATGCTTCGCCTGTGGCATGGAAAATGGATTCCGAGTGTACAACTGTGATCCACTTAAGGAGAAAGAGAGGCATGACTTTAGCGATGGAGGTCTTGGATACGTAGAGATGCTTTTCAGATGTAATTATCTGGCGTTGGTTGGAGGTGGAGTCAAGCCATTGTATCCGACAAATAAAGGTTTATTTACTTTCTATATATTTGGTATACATATCACTAGGTCTGTTCTTTGTAGCTGAGCTAGTATACATTTGTTGTACTTAAAATATATAGTGTCTTCCAGCAAGAGGCATAGGCTGTTTCACTCGCTACACTCTTGGAGTCATTTCATCCATGTTATTTATCAACTGTTAAACAAAGACAAATAACACTTGCGAGTGTTGTGAGCGTCAAGTGGAATGAACCCATAGTGTAACACAGTGATCGTTTTATCTTTGTTTAACATTGGAGAATAACACGGATAATAATTCACTGTGTGTTATAATGTGTTATCTATTGCTGAAAAGTATCCATATATTTGAAGTTTGATGAAAGCGAGAAAGAAACTTTTAGCAGTCCAACGATGAAGAACAGGCTTATTATCATAGATACAGGCTACTTACACTTTATGATTGCAGTCATGATATGGGATGATATAAAGAAATTGCCAGCAATTACCTTAGAATTTAACGCACCTGTGAAAGGAGTGAAATTGCGAAGAGACAGGATAGTAGTAGTGTTAGAGGGTGTTATAAAGGTTTATACGTTTACACAAAATCCTCAACAGTTGCACGTATTTGAGACTAATCCTAATCCGCGAGGGTTGTGCGTTCTGTGCCCGAACAGTAACAACTCCTTACTTGCCTTCCCTGGACGAAAGAACGGCCACGTTCAAGGTAAGAATTCAGTAAAAAATCGAGATCTCGATATATATCTTGTGCATCAAATATATTATTTAATACCAACGGCTTGTGTATTTCAGTTATAGATCTGGCTAATACAGAGAAGCAACCCTTAAATATAGAAGCACATGAAACGCCTTTATCTTGCATAGCTTTAAATCTGCAGGGCACCAGATTGGCCACTGCCTCGGAGAAGGGTACTTTGATAAGAGTATTTGATACGCAAAACGGTAACATGATTAACGAATTAAGGAGAGGAGCGAATCACGCAAATATCTATTGGTAAGCGTAGTAAAAGGGGGTGTGACGAAACACGTGGCACGAAATATTAATTTACATACGTTTAATTCCAGCATAAACTTCAATCATGACTCTACGTGGCTGTGCGTGGCCAGTGATCACGGTACCGTGCACGTATTTGCTGTCGAAGATCAAAAACTGAATCGCCAATCTAGTTTAGCGTCCGCCACGTTCCTGCCAAAGTACTTCAGCTCGAGTTGGAGTTTCTGCAAATTTCAAGTGCCGAGCGGTCCTCAATGCATGTGTGCGTTTGGTCAAGATAACAATAGTATCATAGGTAAGCGACGTTTGTGTGAATTATATGTATATATCCATTTTTATCAGTATAAATTAACTTTAACCTCAATTTAATTTATTCGTTATCTTTTCTAATTCTTATAAACCGGCGCGGTATTTATAGTCAGTTTTTATGTTTAAAATTGTCTTAAATATAGTCGTAAGATATTATAAATCATTTAGAGTCGTAATTAACGTCCTAAAACATTATTTAATCTTAAGAATAAGAATGGACTATAAATAACGGCCTTAGAACTAGAAAAGGATGTAAGTTAAATTGACAATGAAATTAAAGTTAATTTACATTGATAAAATTACAAGATTTTTAACCGAAAACCATTACATATTTCGATCAATCTCTCACGTTTATAATCTCTTATGCAGTGATATGCGCAGATGGTAGTTATTACAAGTTCGTGTTCAACAACAAGGGTGAGTGCACGAGAGACTTTTATGCACAGTTTCTCGAGTTGACCGACGACAAAGCGTGATTGGAGGCATACATAACAGCGGTGAATTTCTAACCGCGCGACGAGGGACTTGACTTTCGTGTTCCTTCACTATTTTCACTCATATTTCGGCTGAGTAAAAGAATTCAATGGCTCGCAAGTACATGGAGATTGTAATACTCGAGCTGTTTATATAGGGGCAATAAAGTTCGTACCAAACGTTACGATAGAGGACCAAATGAAGAGTTCTATTAACTGTTGGTAATGTCGTTCGTTGGTATATTGTGCGCAGATTTTTGAAAACAAAAAGAAAACGATTGACAAATTGAACAGACGAAAAATATCTTTTAACAGAGATTATGTCATTAACTTGTTACACGAGCCTATTCGCTGACGCCTATTGATAGACGAGAGCAAATTTTTAAATATAACAGAAGGAATACTTTCCCAGGTGATAACGGGAGACATCGCAAGTTACTTGTTGGCGTGATACTCACGTTTTCTTACATTTTAGATAAGAATGTTGCTGCAGCTAACTAAAGCGAACATTGCCCATATAGCCTAACCTACAATGTGCTTCCTGTTTCTTATTTTTTCCCTCTGTCGTTTCATCGACAATTGTATTTCTTGTTATGTGTTTCTTGTTTCTTCCGAAGTTCATCAACCTTTATCTCGGGTGACAAAAAACAAAGAAATAGAATAACAGACAAAAAGATAAGAGATAAAAAGCGATAAAAAGTAAGAAACAGCACGGAAAAAAATGATTTTGCAAAAGGATTGTAAAATTTAATTGTCAAATTTGTTTGCTGTTTATAGCAAACAAATTTGCAAATATTTTGTATTACAAATAATTTTTGTAGCGAGCACAAAAAAGAATAAATATATTTGTTACACTTGCAAATAATTTGCGATCCCTATATTTGTAAATGGAATTTGCCGTTATAGCATAGGATTAGCGTTCACAGCAAATATTTTTTCTCCATGAAGAAGCAGAGAGCACATTGTAGATTAGGCTTAAAACATGTTTGTGACAAAAAGCAAATAATCATTTGCCGTAGCTTCGCGGTAA